ATTGCGACGAYCAGTGCCTCCCGCAACCAGGACTGACAACCTGGCGAGGGCAGGCGGCTCCTGCGACATGTGTGTTTGTCCACGGGTTCGTCGACCTGTACAAGAAATAGCCACCCAGAGAGTTCAGCAGGAGATCAACAACACAACTTCGCTAGAGCAACCAAGCAAACAACACCTCACGAAGCACATCGTCACAATCCAGTTGGCGGCCACCTACACACCTCATCGAAATCGACGAAGCAAACAACACTTCACGAACGGGCTGACGAGCGGGAAGCAAGCAGAGAAAGTCAGTGCTTACCAGGCTTAGCTTCCACGTCACCAGAGCCCACCGATGGCAGTCCCAGCACGATTGGCGCCCCTGTGCGTTTCGACGCGGCGGCGACGTGCTCCAAACCCACAGGGAAACTTGACAGGTTCGAGATGTCGGCGTCGATGACTGGAGACGACATAAATTCATTCCCATCCCGATGGCGGAAATCCTCCACGTCCGCCACGGGCAATTTTAGTCTGTCCGTCTCCGGACAAAGAGCGTCGACCTCCACAACATCGACAGGTTGGGTTTTCTCCATCGCCACTATATCGTATTGTGTTGTGCTCAAGGTCCCATGGATGTCCAACAACACCTCTCTCCCCCTTAACTTCTTGTCCTTGTGCGCTGTGTCTTTATCGTCGTCACTCAAATAGAGAAATCTATCTCCAACAGCGTCAGAGGACTTCTTCAGAACGTCCTCTCCCATCGCGTCGTCGTGAAGGCCGGAGTACAAGGGGTCGTCGTATGTCGGCTGAACTGGTTGCTCCATCCCGACATCACTGAGTGTCGGATCAATCCGGTCGTCGGCGGAATCGTCCTTGTCCAAAGTCGTCAGAAGTTGACAACCCTCAACGCCTGCCAGTTGAAGTCCTTTCTCACGTGTGTCTCGGATGAATCCGAATTACGGTAATCTCCAAAGCTGCATCAGGGAGGGACATGCTCACAGGGCCCTGGTTCGGATTCATCCGAGCCCCCACAGTTTCGAATGGCGTCGACGTGACTGCTTTCACCGGTGAGTCGCTTAAGACTGCTAACTCAGCGCGTACCGTCACCAGGCATTTGGCTCCGAGTGTGAGGGGCTCGACATTGAGACTGGTCGCTAACTCATCCTCAGTCGGACAGTCTGTCTGCAGCTCCTTGTGGACTTCTATGCACAACATTACAGCGTCCTGACACCGATCGTCTGTCATGGCAGAAACGTCCTCCTGGCTCGGATGAATCCGAATTTTGGCGCCAGGGTTTTCGAAAACCCGGACCACCCGTTCGAGTTCCGTAGACCGCTGTGCTCTCTCAATATTGGCTTCCCGGTTCGGATTAATCCGAACTTCCTTTTGATGCAAAACTGAACATGGTTCGAGCTTGTCGCTGTCGGATCCGTGGTATGTTGTCTTCTTGCTTCCCGGAAGGCACTGAGTTCCGGACGACGATGTCGTCTCCGAGGTTCGGATTGATCCGAGACAATCCGCCAACCGTTTTTGGAGCTGAGCGAAGCAAGTTCCATTCTTTGCTACAACTGCCCCGCCAACAACATCGGTAAACTGTGTTGCGCTGGTGGAGCTAATCACAGGGTCCTGCTCGCCAGACCTCGTAATCCACCCGGGCCTGAAGTCGTTCCCCGTCTCCATTGAGGTGCTGCCTGTTACCGCCTGAACCCCACCGTCCTCAACGCGGTTGACATCGGCCCCCTGCCCGTCTCCTGTGTGATGCTTTGTCTTCTCTCCGCTGCGAGGCTTTTTCTTCTCCCGGCTGCCCTTTTTCCCCTCTCCGCCGCCCGCGTGCCCCGGAGACCGATGTTTCGTCGAATGCTCACTTCCACCTCCGGTACCTCGTTGCCCGCCGCCTTCACCATCCCCTTCGCCGTTCTTTCCGCGAGACTTGCGCTTCACAACTCCTGCCGGCGGGGTGACCGCAGACAACTCCCAACTCACTTCCTTAATTGACGGGCTTGACGGAAGTTCGTAGAACGCGGAGGATACTTCCAGCCATTTATTTGACTGCAGGAAATCGAACAACGTTTCCCCGTATGCGCGCAGAGCAGGGTCGTCCTTACTTCGTCGATTGACCTCACTTAATCTCTCCAATAGCGCATCGTAGGCGCGAGATTTGAATGTCTCGAGGTTCCAACGATCGTCATATATCCACCCTCCACTTAAGTCCCTCACAACCACTGCCCAGTCGCCGTCGAGAAGGACTGGCTGGAAATGGTCGGGGTGCCACACGATATCATGGCCCCAATCTTCGGCTGTGGAGAAGGTGTGTTTTGTCGCCCACGTGGTAGGGATTTGCAGGAGCCGCGAGATGCTGATGGTCCGGAGGAACTGGATGGCCGGGTTGAAGACGTTCGGGCTGCGGTGTGAGACGAATAGGCTCCCCCGGCGAACTCCTCAGACGGGATAACCCACCCCTCTTGACAGGCGCTGAGGAGGACACGGGCGTGGGACCCCCCGAGGTGGGTGTAGCGAGAGGTGTCCCCGATTTGCATACTGACGACGACTCATAAACTTGGGTGTTGAAGATGGCCAATTGCCCATCCAAATCGAAGAGGTCGTCCTCAACGCTCTCCTCCTGCTCAGTCTCGATATTGAAGTCGGTCGGATCGACCACACCCTCGTTAAAAAATACATATTTCAGCCTCTTAATGAAGCTCACTGCGCCGGCCCGACTCGCTCCGTGGTAGCCCTGGAGGATTGCAATGGCGACTTCCTTCCGCACCACGTATTGCTGGTCAAATCTCAACCTTGGTTGTTCGCCGTAAAGGAAGGAGTAGACCTGACGCCTTTTCTTCGGAATCAACTTGAAGAACATGTCCTTGTTCGGGTCATAAACGGGCTCGACCACGACATGGTGGAAATCGCATGCATAAGCCCCGGACGATACTTCATGGGTGACATACTGCACGGTGTATTCAAGCTGCGTTGTGTCCCCATCCACGGCCAAGACGTGCCTTCCCTGTTGAAGCAGACTCCACACCACCTGCGCGTGCGGCTTGCCCAAGAACAGCACGACATCTACCACACCACAGAAGAAAAGTAGCTGATTGCATAACTGATTAGGATTCCGCTCGCCGTCTTTGTACACAGCCCCCCTCTGGCTGAGGTTCCCGATGTCCGCGAAAGTCAAGGACTTGAAAGACTTCTCCTCCACATCCGTGGGTGTCACTTTCTATTTCTTCCGGAGAGAGGCGACATTGTCTTCGGCAATAGCCCCCTCGTACACCGGGTGAGTCAGTACCCGCAGATCCTCGCCTTTGAAAAGGATGTGCATCACATTCGGCTCCTCCCAGACGCTGTTTTCGAACTGATGCGTCTTCTTCGATGCCGTCTTCCGAACCCACTTCCCCGTGTAGCATCGGGTAGCCCCAAGCGCAGACGAAGATGTCATGAAGAAGAGATTCCACAGGCAGGGAACGAATACGACCAATGTCCAGTAGTCCTGACAAACGAAGCCCAACAACTCACTCAGAGACGCGAATGCCCCAGAGTCCCATTGTGCACGGTCCACAGTTCCGCAYAAGTCGAGCACGCAAGTGTGGGAGCATAGCTGATGCCCTAGTTTTCCCAGCGCCTCCTTATGATCTATGGCACTCAATGGGTCGACGTTAAACTGGGCCAGCGTCGTCAAGGCGCTTGTCCTCGTCCACAAAATGTTGATGCATTCATCAACGCCTCGAGTTTTTTTTTTTGCCTCTGGCGCGATCTCCAGTGATCACCGAAAGGACGACACGCTTCCACTCTGTCGGGAAATGCTGGTCGTTAACGAGGGCCGCCGTTCTCTTGATGTTGTTGTCGTGTTGACACCCGGGAAACTGAGGGCACTTGTTGACGTACGCGGTGTCCGTGAAAAATTTCCTGCTCTTGTTCCAAAGCTTGTCGTCCAGACCTTTGTCCTTGAACTCTTCGAACAGTTGACGCTTGGACCTGAAGAACGTGGAGTTGGCATTCCACTTCCGCTTATCCATTTCCTCGTACTCGAACTCCACGTAGTGCCACAACCTCAACATAATCCGGTCCATTTTTATTATGTCGACCATCTCCTTCACACTGAACTTCCCTTGCTCGGCCAACTTCTTGATACTCGTTTGAACCCACACGACGTTAAGGTTCAAGATGCCGTTCAACAACCTTTTCTTCTCGCGGTCCGTTAAGTCCATCAATTCCTTCCAGCACTGGACATCCGACTCAGGAACTTGGACGTAGTAAGTTTTTTCCTCCGCGCCTTTCTTTGGTTTCCCCTTGCCGTTTTTCAACGACGGGTCGTCCACCTTCACGTACCAGACGTGTTTCTTCATCCCCTGGCTGTCAGTCACAGTGGAGAGTCCTGGCTTGGCCACCTCTTCATGGGTGGGCGACTTTTCAGTCGAACGCCGACCGTTAGAAGCAAGGAGTTTCCCTTTCGACCACTCATCATAGAACTTCTCCCCCAAAGCGAAGACGGAGTCATCTGCCATGGCCAGCGGGAGTTAGTATCGAAGTTTCTCAGCCCATTCCTTTTTTTTCTTTTCTTCCGTTGACAGGTTCCACAAAGGCGTGTACGATGTCTTCTTCATCGCCAAAGCCATGAACTGCACCCACTTTTGCACCTCCTCCTTTTTTTTCGATGCATTGCCGAGCACCACACGCGGTTTGCCCCTTATTTTCCAGATATTGCGAATGTCCCGCATAGACAAAACCTGCAAGCGCGGTGGATTCTTCTTGTCTTTCATGTTGTCTTCGCAGTTGACATGGGCGTAGCCGTTGAACTCGTCGTCAGGGAAGTAGATCGGTCTGAACGACCATTTACAGACGTTGTAGTACTCGAACACGTGATGGTCTTTCACCTTCATCGCCACCCTCGCGTTATGCTGTCCACACACAGGATAATACCAGTATTTCTCGGGCTGTGAGCTGTCGAAGTCACCAGGCAGCACGCGCACAGCAGGCTCGCCCCTCTGTGGAGGCGCGACGGTGGGAGCGAGAATGAAAATGGGCTTCGTGTATCTCATGTCTTTACATTCGTAGCAGTCGATCATAGCCGGCGCGATGGTATCAACGAGGAACCCGTCAAAGGATCAGTGGTTGTACGCGTCTTCCCAGTCTGGAATAACCAATATTTTTTCGGGATGGATCTGCAACACGACGTCCCTCTGCACCCCTATCTTCATCTCGAGGACGAACACATTGTCAAGGTTAAAGGCGTTGAGGTTAATCTCCACGTCGTCATCCCCCTCCCCGCCGTCGCCCTCATCTGCTTTCTTCTCCCTCGCTGATTTCGACCGTTTCCGTGAAGACTCACCGGTTCGTCGCCGTGTCGACGAGTCTTTTGGCGTTTTATCCCCACCTCCAACCCTTTTCCTCTTCTCAACGGAACCGCCCTCTCGTGTTGTTGGCGTCCGAGCACTCCCTCCTTCCTTTCTCTGCCTTTTCAGAGCACCTACTCCCTCTGGCTCTTCCTCATCTGCCATGTTGCGCTTGCCTCCCGACTGAGTCTTTTCAGGCGATCTCTCACGGAACACCCCCTGTTCGAACACCTCGTCCTCACCGGCAACGTTCCCACTTGCTTCTCGTTCCTGGCTCAACTCCGTCTGCAGTTGTGCAGGCGCAGGTCGGTCCCGGCGAGTCGTCTCATCTGACCCACGCACCTCTCGAACCTGTGAACCACCCGCGCGATCGCCAGGCGAAACCTCGGCCACCTGCATGCCATGAACGAACGCACCGATCCTTTCGACTAGACGACGAGGAGTCGTCGATTCTGAGCCCTGTTGCAACCGTTCGCCAACGCCGCCTCCACGTGGTGTCGACTCCCCAAGCAAACCTTGGCGGCGAGATCCCAGCAAGCCCGGTTTCAGAGGAGCACGCGGATGGTCGTCCTCCGAGTCGTCTGACATGCCCACCTCTTGATCAGGAGGCGTAGCTGGCAGGCCACCCTGACCTCCCATCCTCCTTTCAGAGCACTCTCCCCCTGCGAACCCAACAGGACCACTGATCGATGTCCCAGGTCCGACGTCCACGACACTGACAGAGGTACCTGATCTCGCCCAAACCTCGAGGAAGTCTGTCACGTGAATGGCCTCGTCGTGCCCTGGCGCTAGCAGGACGAAGGACGACAAAGACATCGCACGCTGGCCGTACCCGCCGAACATCCTCCCGACAACCTTGCATCCTTTTGCGATGTCGTCGACGGAACAATCACTTCTGTAAAGCTTCCACAACGTAAACTTGAAATTGTATTCGCCTTCGTCGACCCACTCGACGATGGACCCTGCGAGACGCGTCCTATCGGCGCGAACGGCGAGGAACAAGAGTGGCCCGCACGATGGTTTCAACGGGTCGGAGCCGTCCTGGCTCGCCCAGTCCAAATACCAGACACGTTTGTTGTAGTCGCACCACAAGTTTTGAGCCCTTCGGTCTTCCTCCCCACCGCCACCTCCCCGACTCGTTTCCCTTGCCGGTGACAACGTCTTCCCTCGACGCTCTCCATGCGGGGTGGAACCACCAGCAGAGCGGCTTCGTCTGTGTGTAGCCATTCCCTGAAACACGCGGAGGAAATGGACGCACATGCACTCAGAACACTCAACACGTCCTAACATCAACCTCGACCCACAACACATATTCTGTTATCGATCACCTGGACCCCAAAGGAACGAAGTTCAGTCATAGTTAGACGACAATGGTCCACACGCCTGCTCGAAAGGAGGGCAACTGCACGTTCCGGATGAATCCGAGGCATCGTGAGCCATCCTCGTCACACTGCCCTTAAGAGAACGAATGGTCGAAATCGAAGACCGCGGGACAGTTCGGATACATCCGAAGTAGGCGCAGTTGAAAGACCGACGTCGCATATGGTTGCCAGTCATAGGCACCTGCATCGGAAAAAGCAAGACCGCGCTAGAAGGCCCTAGAATGCTGATACAACAGACGAAGATGTGCACCCCATGGTGACACGGTTTCATCCGAAGTCGACAAGCGGATGGTAAAGTTCGCCGGTGTAGTTCGGATGAATCCGAGCTCCAAAGTGCTGTGGACCACGCCCGTGTGGCCCGGACCAATCCGAACTCCAGTTTTCTCGTCCTTCTGAGTCGGGAACGGTTGTGACTCGGATGCATCCGATTTCGAACAGCGCGGTCTTGAGACAGTCGTCCACAAGAGGACGCCATTAACAATACGTGTTTTCGTCAACGACCTGTGAGCATTGGGTTAATCCTATCTTGCCGGAGGTTTGGTTCGGTTGAACCCGAACTTCGCCAATGTGGCTCGGATTAATCCGAGACGGGAACCGGCGGATGGACCCCACGGTCTGTTGACGCCCATCCAGCCATCCAAGCTTCCGTTATTCCCCTGCTGTCMTTGGTTCCACCCGAACTTCGCACGGTGTGTCTTCGTCCTTGAGTGTTTAAGACAGGTGTGGCTCGAATTCATCCGATTTCGACAGGGGCTATCCCGATATGTGCGACCACGAGAGGCTGTGCCGACACCGTGTGCTTTCGTCGTTTACGTTTATTAGACTGTGAGACGTCGTCAATACCCTCTGCGCATGTGGTACATCCGAACAAGCCATYGGTGTGGTTCGGATTAATCCGAACTTCGCCGAGGCGCTTCGCCCGCCCCACCACACACCGGACCTCCCCGCGATTGCCGTAGTGTGTGGTTATAATTTGTGCGTCATTACAGGGGGTGTCGTCGTCCTCGAAAGTTTTAGTTGGTTGTGGCTCGCCCAATCCAAACAACAGACACGTTTGTTGTTGTCGTAGCACAAGTTTCGAGCTCGTCTTTCTTCCACCCGAGCGTCACCTTCTCGACTCGTTTTTGTTGGATGAATCCGAGGCACCGTTAACCCTCATCATCAGACCGCGCTTCGTAGAAAGAATGGTCGAAGACGAAGACAGCGGGGTAGTTCGGATACATCTGAACTAGGCACAGTCTAAAGACCGACGTCGGGTATCGTTGCCAGTAATAGGTACCTGCATCGGGAGAGGCAAGACCGCGTTAGAAGTCCCTGGAACGCTGGTAGAGCAGACGAAGCTGTGCACCCCATTGAGACACGGAATCATCCGAAGTCGACAAGCGGATTGTGAAGTTCCTCGGTGTGCTCAGGATGCAATCGAGCCCCAAAGTGGTGTGGACTACATCCGTGTAGGCCGGATTTATCCGGACTCGAGTTTTCTCGTCCTTCTGATATGGTGAGGGTTGTGACTCAGATGCATTCGAATTAGCACAGTGCGATCCAGAAACAGCCGACCACAACAGGAGGCCATCGGCATGGCGTGTTTTCGTCAATGACCTGTGAGCATAGGGTGGACCCTATCTTGTCGGAGGTGTGGTTCGGATTAATCCGAGACGGGGACCGGCGGATGGTCGGCACGGTCTGTTGACAGCGTGTGATTTCGTTTTAAGTTTATCAGAACATGCAACGTCGTAAATACTGTCTGAGCATGTGATAAATCCGAACTTGTCGTCGGTGTGGTTCGGATTAATCCGAACTTCGCCGAGGTGCCTCGGTTTGTGGTTGCCTCGTGAGTTTTAGTGGGTTGTGGCTCAGATGCAACCGAAATTAACAAGGGTGGCTTAGATACGTTAGTTGTTGCGCCACCAGAGGATGTTATGGACAGGGTGGGCTGTCGTCCTCCTGGTTGGTCAGACTTGATAGGGTTCCTTGCGGCGATTGGCTGACGCGAGGTTTGAGCATCTGATCGCTCCGTGTCCTGTCCTGTGTCCACGTCAGCGGAAGGGTTCCTTGTGGTGATTGGCTGACGCGAAGTTTGATAGGGTTTAAATATTTGAATTCACATTCGCCCTTGAGTGCAATCACAGATCAGTAATCCGAAGACTGCTAGGACATTGTCCTAGAAGTCTTCGGATTGCTGATCTGTGATTGCGCTCAAGGGGGAACAACCTGGAATCGATTAGGCGACTGTCTGTGTCTTTGAATCTGTCCTAGCAGTCTTCGGATTACTGATCTGTGATTGCACTCAGGGGGGACCAACCTAAGATCGGTTGAGCGACTGTCTGTGATACACAAAGATTGGAGAAAATCAGAAAACCCGCATAGACACGAAAGGGAGACTAAGATCGATAGAGCCGTCGATAAGGAGAGGGGGCGCAGCGAGAGAGCCTGTCTTTATCTCTTTGTCTCTCCATGTGCAGATCCTGCGGATGGTGTTGTCTTTTCGGAATTCGCAATGTGAACCATTTAAAAACCGCACAAAAGAAATGTAAGAGAAAACGTATAATTATCTTCCTGTTGCGTGTCGCTTGTCGAACATGAAATGGCGCTTTGCATGAAGACGACGAGCGTTCTTTATCGTGTCACGGCACAGGATGCACCGCGAACGGTCGTGCGTGTGTCGACGAGAGGAAGAGTGACGAAAAATGTGAAAAATTTGACGACTGTAGAGGACAATTTACGGATACAAAACCGAACGCCAAGCGAACTTACGCGGAAAAACGAATAAACAAACCGAGCTCAATACAAAATAATTCGGCGAAAAGAAAGTCCACGTACAATCCAGAAGAGAGACGATTCGTGAGAATCCATGTTTTCGTGTTCGACAACATACGACTAAAAACCTTATATCGAAGTTCGTGAGAAAGACAACAAGTCGCATAGAGCCCCACATCCATCAGCGTGGCCACGCTTGCTCAAAACGTGGCACGTGGACGTCTGAGTGTGCCATCTGATCGAGGCGAGTGGTCGCCAATGAAACGCATGCATTCTTGCTCCCGAAACTCCTTCATCTCACCCCGATCAGATGGCACACTCACACGTCCACGTGTTAAGTCCTGAACATGCGTGGCCATGCTGATGGGTGCGGGGCTCTATTCCACAACATTCTGTTGCCACATAGAGCCTCACATCCATTAGCGTGCACACGCTTGTTCAGGACCCGACACGTGGACGTGTGAGTGTGCCATCTGATCAGGGCGAGTGGTCCCCAATGGAACGAGATCCGCGAACGCACCCCGAGGTAAGTTCGCGAACGAAACAGGCCAACGCATAAGACGAACGAAATAGAGGCACTGAAAAAAAAACTAACGACGGGGACGATGATGGTAGTTGAACACGACGGCACACACGTCCATGTGTCAAGTCCTGAACATGCGTGGCCAGTGGCCACGTTGATGGGTGCGCGGCTCTATTCGACAACATTCTGTTGCGCATAGAGCCCCGCATCCATCAGCTTGCCCACGCTTGTTCAGGACCTGACACGTGGACGTGTCAGTGTGCCATTTGATCGGGGCGAGTGGTCGCCAATGGAACTGAATTCACGAACGCAGGCCGAGGCAGGTTCGCGAACGAAACGGGCCAACGCAAAAGACGAACGAAATAGAGGAATTGAAAGAAAACTAACGACGGGGATGATGATGGTGGTGGAACACGACGGCAAAACGTATGCAATTGCCTTTTCTTTTTCGCATACGTTTTGCGGTCGTGTGCTTCTCCCGTCTTCGTCTTCTTAGTTAGTTAATATTTTATTTTTGTTGGTTCTGTCTCGTTCGTTTGTCTGCGCTTGTCAGTTTCGTTCGCAAACTTGTGCGAATGACACAGACAAGCGCAGAAAAGCAAACGAGATAAAAGACAGAAAGAGAGATAAATAGATAGCGAGAGAGAGAGAGCGACAGAGAGGTGATCTCCGCCTTCATCACACGGCCCAATCAAACGTCACGATCAAATGGCCCCGAACGTCACCCTGATCACACATCCGACTTACGGAGAGAGATCCCTGTTCGATCACACGACACTGTTCGTTCGCGGCGACTGAACCCAATGTAATGGCCACCGCCCGAATCCCGACTACAGATCGTATATATGTGTGGGCACGCTGACGGATGCGGGGCTCTACGCAAACATAGCATGGCAGGACTTTTGAGGTCGGTGGAGATGGCGAGAGAAAGAGAGAGAGAGAGAGATAGAGAGAGAGGGAGGGAGAGAGAGAGAGAGGGAGAGAGACAGAGAAAGAGAGAGAGAGTGAGAGAGAGAGAGAGAGAGGTAGTTCGGATAGAGAGAGAGAGAGAGAGAGAGAGAGAGAGAGAGAGAGAGAGAGAGAGAGAGAGAGAGAGAGAGAGAGA